TCAGTCTTATAGTCTTATAGTCCGTTCTCAATGACAACACACCAACGTCAGTCTTATAGTCTTATAGTCCGTTCTCAATGACAACACACCAACGTCAGTCTTATAGTTCGTTCTCAATGACAACACAACAACGTCAGTCTTATAGTCTTATAGTCCATTCTCAATGACAACACACCAACGTCAGTCTTATAGTCTGTTCTTGCTAAGGTAACTGTATGAGGATACCTGGTAAGTAAATATACATGTATGTATTCTGTACTGTATGAAGTGATATATAGCACTCATTCTGTATTATAATATCTATTTTTTCTTGTGAAATCTAAATGACTGCTGAAATTCATATTTTTTTCACACAAATTCCGATGAAAGCTTCTACAGATATTTGTGTGTAAACTATCTCTTTCTTTCAAGCGAAATCCATTTGAAAGGATTGCTCACCTCAATCCTAATGAAGAATTTCCTATTTAACACATTTACCTGTGTACAGTTCGGGAAGGGGAGTTAAATTAGTTTGCTCTCCTATTTTTGTTGTGTAGTCTTGAAAAAGGCAAGGAAATATTTTAAATAACTTTACATATATATACACAATATCTCGCTGAAATTCTCATTTTCTTTCATTTTCTTTTTGTACTTCTTAAAAACAACAATAAAACAAATAGACATGTCTTTAAGAAATTGTATTTGTTCAAAAATGCATGGGTGAAACTGAATACAAGGGACATAACTCCACTCTCTCACGCGTACAGCTGGAATGATGGGGTTTTCGCTTCAAGTCAAAGTAGGCACACCATTATCGCATCAAACTGCCCTCTCTACCCAGCTTGACAAGGACCCCTAATCTCGGGGGCCCTTGAAGGTTCAGCGTGGTGAGGGCATACAAGGATGGTCAAATAACATAATAATGAACCTATTTATTACGTGAATGATAGATTGAGCATCATCACGGAACATGTGGACGCTAATTATTGTAGTGAATGACATAACATTTTCGCTACCCAAACATTACACCCCAGTGAACAGGGTTTTGGATTGAATCCTTGGTTAGCGAAGATATCCATAACAGTGGTAAACATCAAACAACGACTGAACCAAGCTGAACTCAGGGCTGTCAATTAAATGGCTGAACCCAGATCAAACCATGGCTGTTGGACAAATGGCTGAACTAGATTAAACCATGGCTGTTGGACAAATGGCTGAACTAGATTAAACCATGGCTGTTGGACAATTGACTGAACAAGGCTCAAACCACAGCTATCAGACAAATGGTTGAACCAGGCTCAGCCCATGGCTAATCAGCAAACACATTCTAAATTTGGCTTTGCCAATAAACATTAACAGCATACATTAGCTAATCTAGGATCACATAACATGTGTATAATCTAAACACTTTGCATTGATAAAGGCTAGAGATATGATTGAGAGGGATAAAGATTAGCGTTTTTAAAAATTTAAAAGAAAATTTTATTTGGAAAATAGATAAGCCTAGATAGATAACAATAAAATTTAAACAGAAAGAAATGTGTACAGTATAAAATCGTTCACAACTTTAAATGAAACACGCATCTTAAAGTTGTTGTTTGAAGAAATGGTGGCGCCAGTTGTTTATGAAAGCCCCCAGAACATGATGAAGGCTTAGTATGAATGTATACACTAACATCCGATGTGTCTGGTTGATTATCATCTCATAGTCTCAAACATGATAGAGAAATGGACTACGTTATCAATTAGGTGATATATAAAAATAAATTGATTCTGGACAAGATTGAGTGAAGGCGTTCACAATGTTTACATATATATATATATATTAAAAGTATTGGAAATGACCCCATCAATCTCTTGGAAAAATAATCTTGTTATTTTATGTTCAATATTGAGTCTGGCTAACCGTACCAGTATACTGTTACAGGTCGTAGTCACAGGTGGCGTGACAGTGATAACATGATACTGTAGTCTGACAGACTTGACACTGTATTGTTCGTATGTACACCCTCAATAGGGCACACACAGAGTATTTAGACCAGCCCTACAGTACTGGTAATATTGAATAGATTTAAAGGCTCAAGTTGCAGAGTTGTGTCACAACAAGAAAAAGAACAATACACTTCTTTTTTACAGAGGAACCATCTACATTCATAATCTTAACCTCAATTACATCCATCACTCCTTTACATGCTTATAATACAGATTGATCTCCATGTTACATACAAACTGCGGACCTTTTCGGTTAATCAGACAGAGTGGCTAGACCAAAATTCTGCAATGCAGCAATAGGAGTAGACCTGCTAGCTAATTTTTAGGAAGATTGGGAGATATTTTTCCAGCCTAGTTTGTCAGTTATAATTCTACATGGAATGGATTAGCTCACATCTTGATTTGGATCAAGTACAAAGTTTCACCATCCTGTCTGAACAAACGAAAATGGACCTACTACAAATGAAATGGTTGTTTTCTCTATAAGAGAGATAGTTACCATTTTCTCTGTTTGCATTGCATCTCGTCCAATAAGTTATTTCTTGTCTAATATACATAGCAAGCACTAATATTACATATCTCTATACACAACTAGCACACACATTTATATATCCACTCTCTAGCAAGCACAGCAGGTAATTAACAACATACATTTACAATTGTAGGGTTGTGACATATCATATCTATTGTATGTTGCAATGTCAGCAACACCAAGACTGCACTGAGAGAAGCTTCCGAGGTTGCAATGATTTACCTAATATTCAGTTCTGGTGATCAATTCAGTACATCAACAATTGTCTATTTCCTTGAATAACAATTTTTTCAGGATCAAGTCTCAGAACCAGATCAGCACTCCAGTGGAGAGGGCAGTAACAGAAGTACCAGTGTATCAACATGATGAGTTACCATGGCCAACAGAAGTACCGGTGTATCAATGTTCTGAGTTACCAGGGTCAACAGAAGTACCAGTGTATCAATGTGCCAAGTTACCATGGCCAACAGAAGTACCAGTGTATGAATGTGCCAAGTTACCATGGCCAACAGAAGTACCAGTGTATCAATGTTCTGAGTTACCAGGGCCAACAGAAGTACCAGTGTATCTGCGTGCTGAGTTACCATGGCCAACAGAAGTACCAGTGTATCAATGTTCTGAGTTCCCATGGCCAACAGGAGTACCAGTGTATCAACATGCTGAGTTACCAGGGCCAATCGAAGTACCAGTGTATCAATGTGCCAAGTTACCAGGGCCAACAGAAGTACCAGTGTATAGTGTATCAATGTGCCAAGTTACCATGGCCAACAGAAGTGCCAGTGTATCAATGTTCTGAGTTACCATGGCCAACAGAAGTACCACTGTATCAATGTGCCAAGTTACCATGGCCAACAGGAGTGCCAGTGTATCAATGTGCTGAGTTACCATGGCCAACAGAAGTACCGGTGTATCAATGTTCTGAGTTACCAGGGACAACAGAAGTACCAGTGTATCAATGTTCTGAGTTACCATGGTCAACAGAAGTACCAGTGTATCAATGTTCTGAGTTACCATGGCCAACAGAAGTACCACTGTATCAATGTGCCAAGTTACCATGGCCAACAGAAGTGCCAGTGTATCAATGTTCTGAGTTACCATGGCCAACAGAAGTACCACTGTATCAATGTGCCAAGTTACCATGGCCAACAGAAGTGCCAGTGTATCAATGTTCTGAGTTACCATGGCCAACAGGAGTACCAGTGTATCAATGTGCTGAGTTACCATGGCCAACAGAAGTACCGGTGTATCAATGTTCTGAGTTACCAGGGTCAACAGAAGTCCCAGTGTATCAATGTTCTGAGTTACCATGGCCAACAGAAGTACCACTGTATCAATGTGCCAAGTTACCATGGCCAACAGAAGTACCAGTGAATGAACCTGCTGAGTTACCAGGGCCAACAGAAGTACGAGTGTATCAACATGCTGAGTTACCAGGGCCAACCGAAGTACCAGTGTATCAATGTGCCAAGTTACCAGGGCCAATAGAAGTACCAGTGTATCAATGTGCCAAGTTACCAGGGCCAACAGAAGTACCAGTGTATCAATGTTCTGAGTTACCAGGGTCAACAGAAGTCCCAGTGTATCAATGTTCTGAGTTACCATGGCCAACAGAAGTTCCAGTGTATCAATGTGCCAAGTTACCATGGCCAGCAGAAGTCCCAGTGAATGATCCTGCTGAGTTACCAGGGCCAACAGAAGTACCAGTGAATCAATGTGCTGAGTTACCAGGGCCAACAGAAGTACCAGGGTATCAATGGGCCAAGTTACCATGGCCAACAGAAGTACCAGTGAATGAACCTGCTGAGTTACCAGGGCCAACAGAAGTACCAGTGTATCTGCGTGCTGAGTTACCATGGCCAACAGGAGTACCAGTGTATCAATGTTATGAGTTACCAGGGCCAACAGAAGAACCAGTGTATCTGTGTGCTGAGTTACCAGGGCCAACAGAAGTACCAGTGTATCAATGTGCCAAGTTACCAGGGCCAACAGAAGTACCAGTGTATCTGCGTGCTGAGTTACCATGGCCAACAGGAGTACCAGTGTATCAACATGTATCAATGTGCTGAGTTACCATGGCCAACAGAAGTACCAGTGTATGAATGTGCCGAGTTACCATGGCCAACAGAAGTACCAGTGTATCAATGTGCCAAGCTACCATGGCGGACAGAAGTACCAGTGTTTCAATGTGCCAAGTTAGCATGGCCAACAGAAGGACCAGTGTATCAATGTGCTAAGTTATCATGGCCAACAGGAGAACCAGTGTATCAATGTGCTAAGTTATCATGGCCAACAGGAGAACCAGTGTATCAATGTTCTGAGTTACCAGGGCCAACCGAAGTACCAGTGTATCTGTGTGCTGAGTTACCCGGGCCAACAGAAGTACAAGTGTATCAATGTGCCAAGTTGCCATGGCCAACAGAAGTATCAGTGCATCAACGTGCTGAGTTACCGTGGCCTACAGAAGTACCAGTGTATAAACATGCTGAGTTACCATGGCCAACAGAAGTACCAGTGTATCAACATGCCGAGTTACCAGGGCCAACAGAAGTACCAGTGTATCAATGTGCCAAGTTTGTATCAATGTTCTGAGTTACCATGGTCAACAGAAGTACCAGCGTATCAATGTTCTGAGTTACCATGGTCAACAGAAGTACCAGCGTATCAATGTTCTGAGTTACCATGGTCAACAGAAGTACCAGCGTATCAATGTTCTGAGTTACCAGGGTCAACATAAGTACCAGTGTATCAATGTGCCAAGTTTCCATGGCCAACAGAAGTACCAGTGAATCAACATGCTGAGTTACCCGGGCCAACAGAAGTACCAGTGCATCAATGTGCCAAGTTACCATCGTTAACAGAAGTACCAGTGTATCACTATGCTGAGTTACCAGGGCCAACAGTAGTACCAGTGTATCAATGTGCTGAGTTACCATGGCCAACAGAAGGACCAGTGTATCAATGTGCCAAGTTTGTATCAATGTTCTGAGTTACCATGGTCAACAGAAGTACCAGCGTATCAATGTTCTGAGTTACCATGGTCAACAGAAGTACCAGCGTATCAATGTTCTGAGTTACCATGGTCAACAGAAGTACCAGCGTATCAATGTTCTGAGTTACCAGGGTCAACATAAGTACCAGTGTATCAATGTGCCAAGTTACAATGGCCAACAGAAGTACCAGTGTATCGATGTGCCAAGTTACCATGGCCAACAGGAGTACCAGTGTAACAACATGCTGAGTTACCATGGCCAACAGGAGTACCAGTGTATCAACATGCCGAGTTGCCAGGGCCAACAGAAGTACCAGTGAATCAACCTGCTGAGTTACCAGGGCCAACAGGAGTACCAGTGTATCAATGTGCCGAGTTACCATGGCCAACAGAAGGACCAGTGTATCAATGTGCCAAGTTTCCATGGCCAACAGAAGTACCAGTGAATCAATGTGCCAAGTTACCATGGCCAACAGAAGTACCAGTGTATCTGCGTGCTGAGTTACCATGGCCAACAGGAGTACCAGTGTATCAATGTGCCAAGTTACCATGGCCAACAGAAGTACCAGTGTATCAACATGCTGAGTTACCAGGGCCAACAGAAGTACCAGTGAATCAATGTGCTGAGTTACCAGGGCAAAGTCACAGGTAAACTAGCAAGGATCAATTGTAATTCTGAATAGGATCAAATAGTGACGGTCAAGTCATCAATAGTTTATACATATATAGGTGACGTCACAAACATACCTGTCGGTCTATGTTATCACATTCAACATGAGCCCGTCTATGCATAATACTTTGAGCATTTCATTCCACAAAACTGTACAATTAAATGTTGAATCACCATGAACTTAAATTTATTTTACATGAAATTACGAAAGTATTGAGGGGGAATAACTTAATTTTTATAGAAGCAAAAAAAAACAAAAAAAACAAAAACAACACAATGTACATTGATTAATAAAATTCTGGTAATTGGTCATAAACAATAAACCTATGCATACTCATAAATCAAAGATCTTGTTCTGATTGAACACATACCATGGTGAGACACAAAACTGAATATTAAAGCGAGAGCATTCGAAGTAACTCCTGATAACATGTCCCAAAATTTCGACACAGTATTTTATGTATATTTTACCTTCTTATCAATCAAAGGTTGACCTGGAAAGTGTTTTCATCAAGGAATGAATAATGTACAGGAACCTGTAACAATGGAGAAGCTAATACACAGGGGCTTGTAACACGTTATCGTAATCGTTATCTTGAAGATAGGTGTCTCAGGACTCACTGAATTTGAAGATAAATTTATTTTTGGCTTATATTTCTTTTGTACCAATTATTTATAAAGGTTTATTACAATAATGTGCACTATGAAGTCCAAACTCCAAACAAGCCATCGACCACATGCAAACATCAATTGATACAAGCCTGTGTTATGTCTAACTCCATATTACCAAGAGTCTACTGCCATGTAACAGTGATTCTAACCATGCGTTACAATACATCCTAACCCTGTATTACAACAGTTCTAACCTCTAGGAATTCTCGAAGATACAATTCTCGCAAACCTTTTATGTACGAAAATCTTCTGAACTTTTTCAAACTTATTTGTATACAAAATAAATTTCATTTTACAAAAGTAGCATTTTAAAAATATATACAAAGCCTTATATACAGTTCATTGCTACGTATATAAACTGTACACAGATGGCAGTCTATATCACACAATAGACATAAACCTATATCACACCGATTCACAGAACAGAGCCAAACTCAGCTCGGAAATCTTGAAATTCAATTTACTTATTTTGTTACCATATAAAGCATGTAATATGAGACAGCATAGAAAAGCTAATAAATTCTAAATAAACCATCACATGAAGTTTAAGTAAGTTTACTTCAGTTCCAAACCATTGTTAGATGTCAGGAACAATGTCTCTTTTTCAGATACTAAGTACATTTAATGTAATAATGTTTCTTTCTTGTTGACATAATGACATTTTGATGACTGTAAGATGTGTTAATGGTGGATATAATTCTTTGTAACAGAGTTTTGATCTTGCTGTAGGATTTGTATAGGCATCTGTCTGTAAATTCAAAAGCAAAATACAAATTATGAATGAATGCCCAATCTTGTTACATAATATCACAATATTTAATAGGAAACATGGTACAGAAGCCAAGGTTTACTGTTAAATTCTGGTCCCTGATAGGCCGCACACTCCCTCATTAATACCAGTATAAAATTCTCCAATGAATTACATAGATTTTATACACACATCCTTATCCACTTACCCACACCCATCCTTACAAAATCAAAATCAAAATATTTTTCAATTCATGCAATACACACATATGCAACCAAAACAAGCACAATCTAAATACGTACACAAGAACATTAAACATACACACAAGCTTCATCTCCATAAATCGTATTTCAGTACTTTTACACGAGTACATTTATTGGACTGGCTTATTTACAAGACCATTCGTGTGAGTATTTGTTTGAATATTGCAAACATGTAACTGCCCTCTTATGCACTGTCTATGATCTAGATCCACTATAAACCTGTTGGATAATCCTTTTCTTATAGTGTCAAGTAGTAAAAGATGACTGGGAAAGAGATCCATGGTTATTTAGCCAAGGGGAGATAACTTTTATGTGTAACTCGCCTTTGCTGAAAGCAGACTTACAGGGTATGCATGTGCTCCAGTAAAAGCACTCTGAAAAAATTTCAACAGAAGGAGTTTGTGATGTGATTTTTTTTTCAAAGTTTCTAATGACCACAAGGCCTGCAGCTGGTTGACCAGCTAATAGTGTTGTAATACGAGACATGAAAAAAACAGCTAATAAAGTTTTAATGATAGAAGGTAAAAAGGCCAGCTTACAGTGTTTTAGTAACAGACCAGAGAAAACCAGAAAACCAGATAATACTAAAAGTGTTTTAGTAATAGACATGAGAATAGACATGAGAAACCCAGATACTAGTGTTTTAGTAATAGACATGAGAAACCCAGATAATACTAATAGTGTTTTAGTAACAGACATGAGAAACCCAGATACTAGTGTTTTAGTAACAGACCAGAGAAAACCAGATGATACTAATAGTGTTTTAGTAATAGACACGAGAATAGACATGAGAAACCCAGATACTAGTGTTTTAGTAATAGACATGAGAAAACCAGCTAATAGTGACAGACACAAGAAAACTAGCTGACAGTGTTTTGGTAATAGACACGTGAAAATCAGGTTGCAGTTTTAGTTATAGACATGAGAAAACCAGATAAAAGTTTGTTTAGTTACAGACCAGAGAAGACCAGCTTCATCACCGACGTATTATGCTCATGAGTATGGCAACAAGGTATCACACATACAACAGATAAACAACACACTGATAAATATCTGAGCACACTGCAAGCCGAAAAAATCATAACCAGCATGACTTTCAAACATTTCAGTGTAAGGAATTCAACTGTGGAGATAAAACACTGAATATTAAAGGTGCTTCATAACAAAACACACCAAATCATAAATTTCAAATCAAGTAACCAATCTTACACCCCTGCTACAAATCATTACAATATCTAAACGAAATGAACAGAATAATATATTATAAGCAAACAGGGAATAACATTGCTCTTTATAATGAAATTTTTAGGAAGGGAAGGATTTTTTTGCCATCAATATACTTTGTACAATTGCAAAATGTTTGAGCATGTACAATTAATTGTGGAAAATATTGGTGCAGATATTGAGGTAATGTGTATGTCTAATGCAATCTTTAAACATATTCATTGTTCTTTGCAAATTAATTCCAACATGATATACAAAGATTAAAATACCCACTGTATTATTCCCTGGTTGTTCGTATGTACCATGATCAGTCAATAATCACACACTCTAGACAGTCATATTAAACAAAGAATATCAGACTGTTTCTCTCTTTTAGGGTAATACATCTACATTGTGCTCACATCAGTGTCCTTTTAGAGTCCCCTCCAGCACCTGGCCGAATCAACTCATACAGAATGTATTTAATACAAACTAAGTTTTACATCCTTAGTAACAATATACACGATATGTATCCTGTAGACTGTATATTAATCTCATCCAACAGTTCGTTAACAAATTATTTTGACAATCATTCACTGTCCTTAATGGTCTTCCTTTCACACATCATTCTTGATAAAATTTCATTTTCTCCATTCAAAAAATCACTTGATTTCCCCCTCAACAAACAAAAATATCACATGTTCAAAGCCAGTCACACTAGACGTCACCAGTTCCTGACAGGACACGTTTATCACACTTTGTTTGAATCTCTTTCTTTCTCTCTCTGTGGTGTCATTCAGTTCCCCTAGTGAGCCCAGAGATCATGTCATTTCCTTCTGCTCTTTGTTCCCAGCCAGAATTTGTGTGAACCTTTTCTTGTCTATGTTCATTCGGACAGAGTCTATATTCCTGAAGAGCGTATCAGCACATAGTGTCTCGGGCAGTTTGGTGAGGAACTGCACACAGTGTATGAAGTCATTGTGTATCAAATTGTTCTCGTACATCTTCAGGATACCTGTAATAATACACAAAGTTATATACAGGAATTCCGTAATACAGCATCTCTAATACAAAATTATATAGAGCGTCTTTGTGATACGAAAAGTAATATATATAGGATTTCTGCAATACACAATGTGATATATACACAGAATATCTGTAATACACGTAAATTTTACGCAGGACTTCTATAATACAATGTTCACAAAGTTTTATACAGGATCTCTGATACACACCAAAGTATATACAGTGTATCTGTTATACACTAATGTTTACATACAGCATCTGTATTAAACATAATTATTTTACAGGATCCCTGCAATACAGTTATTATCAGGATTTTTCAAACATGTATTGTGATAGTTACCTAGTGCGGTGCGGAACAGGAACTCCTCTCCATCGCGACAGAACATGTCCCACACTCTACAGGCCACATCCAGGGGGAGAGACTTACTGAACAGTGTAAATATCCTACAATACAAAGGACAGGTCGTTAACCTAAGTGTAATAAATATATACTATGTAACATCCAGGGGGAGAGACTTACTAAACAGTGTTAATATCCTACAATACAAAGGACAGGCTGTTAACCTCAGTGTAATATATATATATATATACTATGTAACATCCAGGGGGAGAGACTTACTGAACAGTGTAAATATCCTACAATACAAAGGACAGGCTGTTAACCTCAGTGTAATATATATATACTATGTAACATCCAGGGGGAGAGACTTACTGAACAGTGTAAATATCCTACAATATAAAGGACAGGTCGTTAACCTCAGTGTAATATATATATACTATGTAACATCAAGTACACATTGTTTATGGCATACTTGCCAACTTTTAAAAATTTCCATGGGGGAGGTTCTGCATTCTCAAAATGTATACATATTAAATGTGTGTATATACCACATAAAGACAAAACAACCTTTTGAAATGAAATATTTTGAGTTGCTCTTTTTGATGAAATCATTAGATCTTAAAACACAGGAATAGTTTAGCAAATTTACTGGTTGAAAATACCGAATATAAGGGTCCAAAATCTGGAGTCTCCCTCCTAAATAGAGAAAATTGGCAAGTATGATATTGTGTTAAATGCTGTTTGAAATTACCTACGATGTACCAGACATAACTTATATCCATACTAGCCCATATTCAATGGGGTACCTACCAGTCTATATGTACAGGTCTGGGGTCACAACATTGGAATACCTACCAGTCTATAATGTACAGGTCTGGAGTCACAACATTGTAATACTTACCAGTCTATAATGTACTGGTCTGGAGTCACAACATTGGAATACCTACCAGTCTATAATGTACAGGTCTGGAGTCACAACATTGGAATACCTACCAGTCTATAATGTACAGGTCTGGAGTCACAACATTGGAATACCTACCAGTCTATAATGTACAGGTCTGGAGTCACAACATTGGAATACCTACCAGTCTATAATGTACAGGTCTGGAGTCACAACATTGGAATACCTACCAGTCTATAATGTACAGGTCTGGAGTCACAACATTGGAATACCTACCAGTCTATAATGTACAGGTCTGGAGTCACAACATTTGAATACCTACCAGTCTATAATGTACAGGTCTGGAGTCACAACATTTGAATACTTACCAGTCTATAATGTACAGGTCTGGAGTCACAACATTTGAATACCTACCAGTCTATAATGTACAGGTCTGGAGTCACAACATTGGAATACCTACCAGTCTATAATGTACAGGTCTGGAGTCACAACATTGGAATACCTACCAGTCTATAATGTACAGGTCTGGAGTCACAACATTTGAATACCTACCAGTCTATAATGTACAGGTCTGGAGTCACAACATTTGAATACTTACCAGTCTATAATGTACAGGTCTGGAGTCACAACATTTGAATACCTACCAGTCTATAATGTACAGGTCTGGAGTCACAACATTGGAATACCTACCAGTCTATAATGTACAGGTCTGGAGTCACAACATTGGAATACCTACCAGTCTATAATGTACAGGTCTGGAGTCACAACATTTGAATACCTACCAGTCTATAATGTACAGGTCTGGAGTCACAACATTTGAATACTTACCAGTCTATAATGTACAGGTCTGGAGTCACAACATTTGAATACCTACCAGTCTATAATGTACAGGTCTGGAGTCACAACATTGGAATACCTACCAGTCTATAATGTACAGGTCTGGAGTCACAACATTGGAATACCTACCAGTCTATAATGTACAGGTCTGGAGTCACAACATTTGAATACCTACCAGTCTATAATGTACAGGTCTGGAGTCACAACATTTGAATACTTACCAGTCTATAATGTACTGGTCTGGAGTCACAGCATTTGAATACCTACCAGTCTATAATGTACAGGTCTGGAGTCACAACATTTGAATACCTACCAGTCTATAATGTACAGGTCTGGAGTCACAACATTTGAATACTTACCAGTCTATAATGTACTGGTCTGGAGTCACAGCATTTGAATACCTACCAGTCTATATTGTACATGTCTGGAGTCTCAACATTTGAATACCTACCAGTCTATATGTACAGGTCTGGAGTCACAGCATTAGAATACCTACCAGTCTATAATGTACAGGTCTGGAGTCACAACATTCTTTACAAAATGGCGGTGCAGTGAAGGCATATTTTCACGGAAGAAATCCTCATATGTTTGAAAGTAGGACTTCATCTAAAACAGTAATACAATCATTAATGTAATGCTTTACTTAATTTGCAGGAGGAGTTATTTTTGGAAATCTTTTCTTTTTATTATAAATACAGAATTGACAATATAATAATGTTTAATAACAGAAGCAATATGATACATGCATGAATTACTAAAGAATTGCACTAATATAAGTTATATAGTGGGAGGTACTGTTCAGGAGTTCATACAAGTTCAAGAAGATCCTCTGACTAACAGTGTGATGCCGACAATTGTGAGTTAAGGGCTGATCAGGGATGTAAAAAAAAACTTCTCATAAATCAGGGATGTATATTAAGGGAATTAGAAACGTGTTCCTATCTTGTAACATTCTAGCATGTGGAGAGTATGAGTGAACTCCCTTGATCCAGAGTGAGGGCAGCAGGCAACCACTTGCAATGGCTTCATCAGCACATGAAACCAATCATTATGATATAACTAGCTCTTTGCATATATTGTTGCTGAAGGCAGTCTATATTGCATCTAGTTGATCTAATCTGTATTGTCACAGGAATTGGTGTCTCTAATTATAGCTGTATTGTTGTTATTTTTTATAGGATTTACAATTAATACATTAAGACATGGATAGCGAACAAAAATACCAACCATTTCCTCATCTATCCTAAAGAAGGCCACTTGACAGGGGCGGTTAAGGAGATTGGCAAAAACCAGAAAGGCATCAGCTACATCCATGTTGAGTAGAAGTACTGCTGCGATGAAAGACATACCCTGTACCTGTAGGTAAACAAATAGAGAGATGAGTAAGGAAAATCCAATTCTCCGAGAGTTGCCTCCCTTAAACCTAACATTATTATTTTTTCTCTAAAATCAGTTTCAGTTCTCTTTCTGAACACTTCACATACATTTTTGTATTGACAAGTTAGCTGTAAACATCATGTTGACTGTGACACTTACATAACCCAGTCAGTCCGGTACTTATTTGTTACATGATGGAGCCATGTTAAATGAAAGCCTATTCTACTCGGGTCAGTATTAATATGAGTTTCAACTGAGACATGTTAGCTGTTTGTGCGATGTACACTGTGACACTTACATAACCCACGTCAGGCCGGTAGCAGGCATAAGCACCAAGAAGGCTGTGCAACAGGTCGTGATATGGTCCACCCTGTAAACAAAACAAAAAAACTTGCTCAACAGAGATAATCATAGTTTTATTGGGGAAAAGGAAAACTTTGAAAAGTGTCAAAAGTTAATATGGGTAAATTTTCACAGTAATTCTGAAGCCAATAAATAAAGCAGGCATGTTACATTGGTTTATAGTCAATATTAACACTTAATAAATTATCTTTGTGTAATTTCTTCCTGGTCAAATTAATATATGATGATGCAAATCTACTTCCTGTAGTTCTTTATTTGTATTTACCTTTTGAAATATACAGAGTGGAGGGAATGTTCGTGATACGTCAAGCTTGATGAGTTCAACACTGGACTCTTTACTGGACGGAGGCTCAGATGAGGCTGAAGTAAACAATAGGGACACAATCAGTATGGGAAGTGTCACGCATATCTTTGTTAAGTTTGAAAATTTATAATAATATAGTTCATATATCATTTACATTGTAACAACCTACATCAAGTGCGTAACCCAAATAAAGGAAACTGGAACAATGATAAAACAAATTAGAACAAAGACAAAGGATCACTGTGATGTTTAAAGTGGCAAGCTGGAATGCGAATAAAATATTCCTGACCAATGATTAATAGCAGCCCTTGTACAGATAACTCTTGGTTAGTAAGAAGTTGTTTTGAAGCCATCAAAGTTTTCAGTTCTGAATGAACCCCTCATCTCCCCTTTATCCTATTTTACAGCACAGTGGTCTACAAGATTTTGACCGTTACCTCAGAGCGAGAGTCATCACAGTGGTACTGAGCAGTGGTGAACATCATGGCATGTTTAAACTCATTCACTCCTACATTTTTAAAATGGACTTGCCCAGTCTTTGATTCGGTAAAGTTCAAATGTGACTTCAGGGGTGAATGGGTTAAGTGGTCAATATGAGCAAAACATTTTAAGCCATTTTAAAGGCATACTCTGACACAAATTTGACCAGGATAAACACTTTGACATTTGAACTGTCCCTGTCACTCATAAGCATGACTGAGGGTCAAGAAGGAGGTTCCTGATACCGTAGTACTTACTCTCAGAGGTACCATATATCTCTCCTGAGTCGCAGGCTGTCAGCGTCAGCCGAATTCTGTCTTCTGCACGACTTTCACAAATCTCATAGAGTTCTGTAAAACATTACATCAACATTAACAAATGGTTCACCAGGATGAACATACAGTTTAACGGTATGGTGGTGTACGGTGTTCAGGCAAATATTATATAAGATAGGTCACTATTGTTGGCTAACAGACAAGTTACTTGTTGTACGTAACATACAAGTTTTATTCCAATGATGTAAAAACTATTTCACCCTATCAAATCTTGTATATCTGGTGTTTACATTATGGATCAGAGAATCCAGGTAGGTTTCAATCACAACACGCTCAAGCGTTACCAATGCCTGGGTTTTTATTACGGTCAACTAGTTTCGACTCTATGTGCGAGTCTTCATCACCCTGGATTTAGGCCATAATAAATTATTTGCTAGGTTCTCATCCCTGCCCGCCCCCTCTTTGAGGCCCCGCCCCAATTTTTTTTATTTGCGAAAAAAACCACGAAAATACGAAATCCGGATTTTTTTTCCCGTTTTCCGCTTCAAAAATTAGTTTTATATTATCAATTTCCGGTTGTAGAAAACTCGTCGTCTGCAAGTATGGTTTTTGTAATTCTAAAGCTGAAACGGCAACTTGCCGTTCTTAAAGATTGGTATGGGTGTTCAGTAGCCGATACTAAAACATTAATGCAAGTCTTTCATGAATTAGCCGAAGGAACAATTGACAAATCTGCGCCCGTCGAGTGTGGTAACAGGGCCGTTGTGTCGGCCGGTAAATCGAAAGTGGAACTGACCCAGTGTGATGGCGCATGTACGGTGGGGGAAGTGGTGTCGTACCTCGGAGCTTATTTAGAATTTAATATTGATGCTGATACAGAAGAGCAGTCGGCAACTGCCAGTGCGAAATCCGACGCATTTACAATTTTAATGTCGGGATTTTCTAAAGCAACAATGACAAGGTCACTGTAATTAAAAGAGGACGATATGTGAAAAAGTAATGTGGTGTGTATTCATACCAAAAGTTAGTACAGATATATATGTGGACTGAACAGTGAAATGGTGTTCAATGTGTATACTGCATACTCAAAGTTGTTATTAACAAAAAATAAAGATAAATGTACACTGAACATGCGCCTTTATTGCACTATTTTAACACATTTGCAACCATTTCAAATTTTAGGAAAAATAAAAAATAAAAATAAAATTCGCCCCCCCCCGCCCCAATTTTGAACAGAATTTGGATGAGAATCTAGCAATTAATTTATTATGGCCTTATATGCAACTTTTTATTCAATCGCCCTGCATACCTTTCCGTATCCACACTCACAGCGAAGTACCCCGCCTACTCAACCAACCTACTCAACATTGACGTCGGCTCTATCTCGCATGTTAAATGGATCAGAGAAATAACATCAACAGTAAAATCCCATATAACACTGGATCCTTACAAACGTATGTTTGTAGGGTATGAATTACTTAGAACTGGTTAAGGGGCAAGGAATTAATTTCAACACCCTAAGGCCATAATAAATTAATTGCTAGATTCTCATCCAAATTCTGTTCAAAATTGGGGCGGGGGGGGCAAATTTTATTTTTATTTTTTGTTAATAACAACTTTGAGTATGCAGTATACACATTGAACACCATTTCACTGTTCAGTACACATATATATCTGTACTAACTTTTGGTATGAATACACACCACATTACTTTTTCACATATCGTCCTCTTTTAATTACAGTGACCTTGTCATTGTTGCTTTCGAAAATCCCGACATTAAAATTGTAAATGCGTCGGATTTCGCAATGGCAGTTGCCGACTGCTCTTCTGTATCAGCATCAATATTAAATTCTAAATAAGCTCCGAGGTACGACACCACTTCCCCCACCGTACATGCGCCATCACACTGGGTCAGTTCCACTTTCGATTTACCGGCCGACACAACGGCCCTGTTACCACACTCGACGGGCGCAGATTTGTCAATTGTTCCTTCGGCTAATTCATGAAAGACTTGCATTAATGTTTTAGTATCGGCTACTGAACACCCATACCAATCTTTAAGAACGGCAAGTTGCCGTTTCAGCTTTAGAATTACAAAAACCATACTTGCAGACGACGAGTTTTCTACAACCGGAAATTGATAATATAAAACTAATTTTTGAAGCGGAAAACGGAAAAAAAATCTGGATTTCGTATTTTCTTTTTTTTTTCGCAAATAAAAAAAAATGGGGCGGGGCCTCAAAGAGGGGGCGGGCAGGGATGAGAACCTAGCAAATAATTTATTATGGCCTAAGCGTAGACAATATGATGCTGTCAATTTTTTTTCAAATTTTATAATTTACATAATGTAATACACACACCAAACATCTCCCAAACACCCTATACACACACCAAACATCTCCCAAACACCCTATACACACACCAAACATCTCCCAAACACCCTATACACACACCAAATATCTCCCAAACACCCTATACACACACCAAACATCTCCTTTGCAAGACAACAAGATCATACAAGATTTGATAAACTTAAAATATCTCCATCTCGAAATTCTTTTTGAAAGGTACTGTGACTAATATTTAAACAAATAATCTTTGACCAAATCCAGCAATAAGATTGTGGTGGGTATGACTGATCAAAGCTATCAACTCCTCCCCCCAAAGCTGTATCTTCACAAAGCTATGTTTCACTAAGTAGGAGCATACCCTGTGTAAGATTTAGGTCGTTGCCAATGGCCAGTTTCCACACCTTCCCTCGTACCATGGGAGGGATCCCCAGCCACCAAAGTTCCCTGGTTTTCTTGGTCGTTTTCCTGTCAAACCAAATCATACTTACTATAACATGCCATGTAACTTACCATACTTTTATAATGTAATTAATTAAGGGATAAAGTAAAATTTGTAACGATTTGCTTTGCTATCAACTCAAAGTTAATAGCTTTGTAGTTTACATGTTTGCCATTTTTTATTCATTTTTATTTTTCAAGATTTCTGAGCTGCTGTTCCAGAGAAGGAACTCTACGTAATAAACTACATATCTTTCATGGATTTTTAAAATATCAAAATTTAGGAACGATGTCATTGACGCTTATAATTCCCACACTTTTTTAATGGTTTTCCTGTTGAATATCATATATAAATGTTTCACCTGTATGGCAGAATATACTGATTTTTTAACTTGTACTTCACATTTGTTATCAGTATTCCACCATACAGGTAAAATATACATGGTATTCAATGGGGGACTATTAAATGGCCTCTAGGTATTAGAAAATGTAATAAAGGAATATTTATTTACTTTTAAGACTATTGGGAAACACACATTTACTGGATGTGATATATTATACTGAAGTATTTTCCTACTGCACCAAAACTATTAAGATATAGACAATTATTATAATTACGCTGAATCCCAGTTGGGCAGAATTTCGTTGCTCCATTTCTTTGCTGCTGCTAGTAACTGGTCCTCTTGTTTAATTTGCTGTATTTGTTGTTTTCTCTTCATTTTGATATCTCTTTGTTCTACAAAGAGAAAACAGAAAAAATCAATACAACATCAGATAGATGTGCCGATTAATTGTTTCAGTGTGGGCCGCTGTGCTGAGGAGTCAGACCTGCTTACTCTTCCATGTCATTCTATATCAGGAAACCAATGATGGGTTGTGGCAGACCTGTACATTTGTCTTTTTTAAAATCCCCTGTCAATCCTGCCATCATGAGACAGACATGGTGACACAATTCTCCCGATTGAATCATGCTGATTAATAATATATAAAACTTGATTTTGCTAATCTAAAATCTGAGTATTCATATAAAAAAAAACTTGCTAGTTTACAGTTTTTTACTTTATGCTACTTTTCCTAAAATATTGAATTTCTTGTGTCACTGCAGCAAAAATTGAAACTTCTGTATAAAATAATAAAACGGTATGTCACCCTCAGGAGAAAATTTCTTGTTTTTGTCACACTTTTGTTCTTCTGTGTACTGTCTCTGGAAGCATAGTTGTTGTGGCAGTGTACATGTGTGGCAGCATAATTGTTGTGGCAGTATACATGTGTGGCAGAGTAATTACAGTGGCAGTATAATTATTGGGGCAGTGTGATTGCTATGGCAGTGTAATTGTTGTGGCAGTGTGATTGCTATGGCAGTATAATTGTTGTGGCGGTGTGATTGCTATGGCAATATAATTGTTGTGGCAGTTTGATTGCTATGGCAGTATAATTGTTGTGGCAGTGTGGTTGTTATGGCAGTATACTTGTTGTGGCAGTGGGATTGTTATGGCAGTATACTTGTTGTGGCAGGGTGATTGTTATGGCAGTATACTTGTTGTGGCGGTGTGATTGTTATGGCAGTATACTTGTTGTGGCAGGGTGATTGTTATGGCAGTATACTTGTTGTGGCAGGGTGATTGTTATGGCAGTATACTTGTTGTGGCGGTGTGATTGCTATGGCAATAGAATTGTTGTGGCAGTGTGATTGCTATGGCAGTATAATTGTTGTGGCAGTGTGGTTGTTATGGCAGTATACTTGTTGTGGCAGTGTGATTGCTATGGCAGTATAATTGTTGTGGCAGTGTGGTTGTTATGGCAGTATACTTGTTGTGGCAGTGGGATTGTTATGGCAGTATACTTGTTGTGGCAGTGTGATTGCTATGGCAGTATAATTGGTGTGGCAGTGTGATTGTTATGGCAGTATACTTGGTGTGGCAGTGTGCTTGTTATGGCAGTATACTTGTTGTGGCAGTGGGATTGTTATGGCAGTATACTTGTTGTGGCAGGGTGATTGTTATGGCAGTATACTTGTTGTGGCGGTGTGATTGCTATGGCAATAGAATTGTTGTGGCAGTGTGATTGCTATGGCAGTATAATTGGTGTGGCAGTGTGATTGTTATGGCAGTATACTTGTTGTGGCAGTGCACATGTGTGGCAGAGTAATTACAGTTGCAGTATAATTGTTGTGGCAGTGTGATTATTGGGGCAGTGTGATTGCTATGGCAGTATAATTAATGACATTTAGCCTGTTGTTGTAAAATTGATCCACAAGTCAACCATACAGAAAACATTTCTAGTGAATCAATTTTTCCAAAACTTTGTGGTCAATTAAATTCATCAACACTATTTTGGAACAATCAGTATTTTTTGATACTAATTAAAATCTAAAGGATGTCCACCCAATCTGTGTTAGTTACAGAAACAACATTAACAAAATTATTGCCAGCATTAGAGAGAAACCCTGACTGTAGCAACAAGATGTGATTCAGTAAACAGATCATAGAAGAACAAGTACCCACCAATATCTACACTCCAGAATCATCTTTTAAATCCACACTAATGATCTATAGATACAGGATTAATTGGCACCAAATTGGAAATAAATGTGGCAGGTTTTTACTAGGAGTATGACGACTGTCAACATTAGAGCAATGAACCTGACATAACAATGCCAGCTCCTAATCAATACAAGGGATCAGTTTACCGTAAAAATAAACCGCAGACAATTGGAAAAGAGGTTATTTCAATCTGTGTTTGTAACGAGTCCCTGAGCTTGGTGTCTGGTGATAGTCAGTCATGACCTCTGTCAAAACACATAAAACACAAAGCCATGTTTATAGATAATACTGGCATCAATGTTCAGCATCATTTGTGGGTCTGGTGAGCTTACAGCAAATACCAATCTACAGCGGTACCGGTATCTACAGCAGTAAGATGGGCGACTAGGGAGACTGCAAAGTTAGACCACAGAAATGATGGGTGCCTAGAGAGACACCATTGAAATGAAAACCTAGAGCAGACAAAAACGACAAACTAGAGCAGACATTAACACAAAGATATAGATTTCAAATTGCTGCAACGGGAGTAACAGATAAATTTTGGTTTCTTTAATGACCCCTTGGCAGAAGACAACTCACGATTCTCAAGGAGGCTCGGAACCAGTCATTCCTTACAACATGCAATGAGATACCGTTAGGCCTTTTCATTCCACGAACTTGCAGAAGTATATAATACTGGGATCAAAGCTTAGTATAGTTCTAGTGAGCCTACAAAAATGTCTAAATAGCATAGGCATCAACTTTTAGAGTATGGGTATGGTAAGCTTACGGCAACATCTAAATAATACTGGCATTAAGACAAATATAGTTCTGGTGAACTTAGGCAACTCTAGACAATGCACATATCAAAGGAGATTACAGGTCCGCTGAGCTTACAGCGACGTCTGTTAGGTAAAACTGGCATCAAAATTAATTATAGCTTTGGTGTTTTCATGATTTCTAAGCTTATAGCAATATGCACTGGATGGAAAAAAGCTTGCTTGAAATTGTTCACTGTTTGTAACTAACTAGCTATCTAACTAGCCAACAGGAAGGGCGGTGTTATGGAGATAGCGTGCTCTAAGCTGGTTGTCGCTTTCCAGTATTGATTGGGCTGATATTGTCAGAGATATGTCATGCAAGCGAGAAAGAAAATTTTTGCATTAACATTACAGACATCAACAACATATGAAATGGTGAAAATAGACAAAACACTGACTTGAAACATGGATCAAAACTTCATGTAGTTTGGAAGACAAAAATCCTTTGATAAAGACAACATATTGTTGAAGCTGTAATATAATTTGAGTTATGAGTGATATTTCTTTTTTGAAATATAGGAATTTATAGGAATTTTAGCAAAATATAGGAAAAATATAGGAATGGTCAATTATATAGGAATTTATAGGAATATATAGGAAATGGACACCCTGTAGAGTACAAAACCAAATATTGTAAAGAATTACATGTGGCAAAAGAAAATTCAACTTTGATGAAATCAAACTTGTTATATTTGTCAAAGAGTTTGATGCTCATGTGACCATCATTGTTATGCATGTACACACTGCAGGGAAAACAGAAACAGATCTGGTGAGGCAGATTATGATCAAACAAAACTTAATTAATATACAGGTAAGTGCATTGTAGAAATAACATTTGTGTAAAAGTTGGCATTTTATCAAAACAGCCAATGAAACTGATCATGACAATGAAATACATAACGTAAAACTCTTCTTGTTTTAAAATGATCATAATTTCATCCTGTTGACTATTTTCCCTAATATCATACTCAACATGACCAATGTAACAAACGACCAGGTCAGCACTTAGCTAAGAAATTCATTACGTCAGGGAAGGTAGCCCTTGTGTAGGTTTACAGTGTATCGACACGGCATGGTCAGATCATCAGTACATCATAATAACACTTTCAGTTGTCTGGGCTAATTGGCAGGTTAGACTGGCTATATATTGCTGATGTCAATGATTATGTAAGTGTATCTCACAGAACAGAACTAGCCTTGCTGCCCTGATATAGTTCAAAGACATTAAATATCCAATTAAGTTCCAAATATATAGTATGCCTAAAGCCAACATATGTCAAAGCCTGAACGCAACACATTCATCTACTGCATATTTAAAGTGGGTTCAATTAACCAAAACATCAAACCATACAAGGTCGTTAATCATGATTACTCAGCAAATTTATAACTGAGAGTTAAGTGTTTGGTTAAAATATCTTGCATCCTTTGCTAATCAATTTACGTTGTTGTTCCAACCAAAATTTTACATTGTATTATATAAATTAAATAATTTTAGTATAAATGCTATAGGCCTACAAGATGTCCTCTGAAAACAATTTTCTATTTTTTTAATCAAATAATCTTGACTATGTCAATCACACATTAATACAGTTTTTACAAGGTATATACATCCTTGTCACTAATTCTACCCCTTGTCTACCAGGTTATCCTACTGTCCATGCTGTTGAACATTGTATTGAACCACTTATTTAACCGCTGTAAAATCTCTGTACTACTGGAAGGGCAATTGTTAGGATGCAGAATAGGAAAATATGTCTTCAAATTTGAATTAACAAAACAAAAATGATTAAACGTTAGACATTGATTCATTAAGTTAACGCTTTAAAGATATTAAATGTTATCTTATTAAATTTACCCATAATACCCATGCATTTAAGCCGTCAACTGATTCAGTAAAATATCCATTTTTTTATATCTATTTTTTATTTTTTGACTTCAGGAAAAATGTATAACTTATTTTACTCCTTGCAAACCTCCTCTCCCCATCCCTCTCCCCCACCCCCTATATACCAAACCTCCTTTCCCCATCCCTCTCCCCCACCCCCTATATACCATTTGCTCTTCGCCCATCCACTCTTGCCGTCCCGTCCCCCTACCCCAAGATCTGTTTGCTTTTTGCACACGCTTCAACCTCGAAACCTGAGTGAGAAACATATGATATTTTAGAGAGACAAAATCAGTATGTTGTATTCACCAGATCTCTGTACTAATCTAATCAGTACTTCAGTGTCAGCACTGTTAACATACTGTGGTGTGATGCACAGAGATTAGGGTCTGGAGTCAGGATACTAGTCCAGGAGATAAACATGAACTTAGGTCGTTAACAGCTTTTAATTGTACTGATTACCAGGATACCTGATCTCAGACAAAATCAAGCAATAACATCCTTGGGT